AGATAGAGTGATTACACCGTTCTAGCCCTAGCGGGTGGCAACAGATAGGAGCAGCCCAGCCTGAGCTTCCCTGTACCCCAAAGGTCAGTCCTACTCTGTAACGACAAACTCCTTTGTGGGACACAGCTCCCATACCTATTGCCCCCACTGAGTCTCCAGTCCTGCTTCTCGTGGCCCTTGCCACACCATTCCGCCATTGTTTTTTGTCCAAATGTCAGTTTTTTAAAGAAAAGAAAAATATTATTCAACTTCTTGAAGAATTTCTTTTTGATTGTTTGTTTTCTTAAGTCTGGGACTAAGGAAATCTTTTCTAAGCAAAATTCAGAAACTTAAAGAGACAACTAAATTTGTCTTTCTAAAACTTAAAACCTTCACAATGGTCAAAATAAATGTAAAGATGTTTAGTCTCCAAAAAAATCTCTTCCATAAGATGTTTAAGAGACGGGACTGGAGTGGTGGTTAAGAGCACTGACTGCTCTTCCAGAGGACCCAGGTTCAATCTCAGCACCCACATGGCAGCTCACAACTGTCTGTAACTCCATTTCCAGGGGATCCGTCACCTATAGTCACAGTGCCAATGCACATAAAATAAAGATTTAAAAAATTAAAAAAGAAAGAAACTCTTAAAAAAGATGTTAAAGAGACAAAGATACAATGAGCTATTTACATTATCTATAACAAAAGTCTTCTAAACCAATAAGAATTTAACAATCACCATCACCTCCATGGAAACACAGGCAAAGATTTGCCATATGGAATAGAAGAACCAAACTCTATTGGGGGGGACCTCATGATGGCTGCAGTGTGTCTTCTAGGGGTATAACCAAGTAGTAGGAGCTAAATGGCTTAAATTCAAATGAAAAAATGTAGTCTTGTAGTACTTGGTACTAGAAGTAAAAACTAACGTGTTAGCAGGGTGTCTTAGTTAGGGTTTCTAGTGCTGTGAAGAAACACCATGACCATGGCAACTCTTATAAAGGAAAATATTTAGTTTGAATTTTGGCTGCCTTATAGCTTCAGAGGTTTAGCCTATTATCATCATGGTGGTGGGAAGGCAGACATGGTGCTGGAGAAGTAGCTGAGAGTTCTACGTCTTGATCCACAGGCAGCAGAAGCAACTGTGTGCCCCACTGGGCATAGCTTGAGCATAGGAGACCTCAAAGCCCACCCCCACAGTGACGCACTTCCTCCACAAGGCCACACCTATCCCATCAAGGGCACACTACCTAATAGGGCCAGTCCCCACAGGCCAGTGATTCAAACACATGAGTCTATGGGGGCCATTCCTACTTAAACCACCACAATGGGGATGTCCTTCCAGAGCTTGTCAGTTAAGATCCTGCTTCTTCTGGCTTCTGATGTTCCAGGATTCATCACTCCAGTCTCTACCCCACCGTTACATGTGCACCCACCCCCACCCATGTATCTGTGCCTCCCCACAGCCATCTTTCTTTGTCTCCGTCTGTGTTGTTTTCTTCCACATTGGACTATTGAAGACAGTCCTTCTAAGACACCATCTTTAAGTATGTTCCAGATGGTACTTTCATTAATTTTCCTAATGAGTTCCTCATATATATGGAAATTTTACATCTAAAGTTTATCATTTGCATTCATCAAATCACCAGAAAGAAAAGTGTCAAAAAGCTTTCCGTTCATCAAGCAAGGACTGTTGTTAGTGTGGCAGTTTAAATAAGAATGGCCCCCATAGGCTAAGATATTTGAGGACTTGGTCCCCAGTTAGGGGCACTGTTTGGGGGACGTGCAGGAGATGTGGCCTTGCTGGAGGAAGTATGTCACTTGGGTGTGGTGGTATCTTGTTTGTACTCTAGCAAATAAAGCTTGCTTGAAGATCAGAGGGTGGAGCTAGCCACCAGCTAACCATAGAGGTCTGGAGGTCTGTACAGACAGACAGGAAGTGAAATGGCTGGGTGGAGATAGGAACATGGGTTGAAGGAGACAGGAGCTCACTGTCTTTTTGGCTGGGAAGTTGAGGTGAGGTGTAGCTGTGATTTGCTCCTGTATCTCTCTGATCTTTCAGCATTTAACCCTATATCTGACCCTGGGCATTTATTATTAAGACTTATTAGAACTAGAGATTCCCTTGGGAGTGGACTTTGAGTTTAAATCTGGCTATTTCTGGTCCCACTCCTCTGTCCTCTGTGCTTTGTGTGTGTGGCTGTCAGCCCCTTGTCTCAGCTGCTCTGACTGCCTGCTGCCTCTACTCAGCCACCATGGATCCTTGCCCTCTGGAATTGTAAGTCAGAATAAATTCTCCTTTCTGCAAGTTGCCTTGGTTTGTGGTGTTTTAGTCACAGCAACAGGAAAGTCACCAGTACAGTTCATAACCTCAGAATGGCAAGTCATGGGCTCGTTTTGGTTGATGTGGATACAGAAATGGTCCCGCTATCTTGCTAAGTGAAAAAAGTAGCCTAGAAAAATCTCACTCATACAAAATGCTAGTTGACAACTTCAAAGTGGTACTGGTTACTATGGGGACGGAGAAAGCAGAGTCACCGCCCCTGTTAGCTAATTTGTCAAACGTTGCTTATAAATGGGATCTCACCACTTTCTAACCTACTTTCTTTTTGCTTGGTAGTCTGGCAGTCTGTTCACGATAACGCTTTTATAAACTCACCCTAAGGAGCTCTTTAAACAAATGGGAGAGATATAAAGCTAGTTTATTAGTATTGCTAATCAAAGCACTATTATAGACACATACACACACACACACACACACAATGTCAGTAAAGTCCATGGTCATCTTCCTACCTGGAACAGAACAGATTTTGGACAGGAGACCCTTTCTCTGAGAAACAGGGGAAACACAGCTTTTGTGGCAAGCCAGGCTAAATCTATACAAAAGTTCACCCCAGCAAACTTGACCTTAACATTAGAGTCCTATCCCGGATAAGAACACGTGTGTAGACTTAATATTAAAATGTCTGGGGAAAAGAGCAGATGAGGGGGCAGAAACATTGTAAGAGCCAGGGGGTCCAGGGCAGCTGCAGCTATGGTGTCCTCCAGAAAGACAGGAAAGCTATACCCACGAAATCTCACCAGTATGGTTGCCCGAACAGGACCTGCATAACGACAACACCAGTGGACATGCCAGTGTGAACAGAGTGGGAGAGTTTCACAAATGCCCTGTCTCTATGTGAAGTGCCCCACCTCTACGTGAAGAGTTAGAGGCATCCAATGGCTGCTGAGAGAGAATCTGTGTCCTCCAGCCATGCGCTCCCTGATAGGTCATCCAATCCCAAATGGAGTAACACTAAACAGGTGTGTGCGTGTGTGTGTGTGTGTGTGTGTGTGTGTGTGTGTGTGTGTGTGTGTGTGTAACAATAAGAGGTCATGAATTTGAGGGGGAGTGAAGAGAGGGGTGGAAATGATGTTAATACAGTTCTCATGCATGAAACTCAATGTAGAGAGAAACCTTTTCCTTGCCAGCCGCTTTGGTTTTTTTCCCACCAGTCGCCTGGGCTCTGCCGCATTGTAGTCCCCAAATAACACACAAGACGCTGTATTAATTATGAAGCTGTTGGCATTGCTTGTTTCTTACTGGCTAGCTCTAAGTTAAGTATTTGCCCCATAATTGTTAATCTACGTATTTCTCTTACCGGAGAAAAGTTCCGAACTTCTTACCCCTATGGCAGCTACATCTTGACTCCCTGTGTTTCTCCTACCCAGAGTCCTCCTGGACTCCTAGTCCCACCTATTGGCCAACAATGCTTTATTGACATATACACAGGACTTCCCCATCAACTCAAGAATATTTAAAAATTAAATTGAAAAGTTTAGCACATCCCTCCTCTTTCTATGAAAGTTTACGGGAGGCCATATGTGGCACAGCTGCGGAACGGTTCAAAGGAGCCCACGTTTAGGGCAGAGCTCAGCCAGCCTATGCCCAGACAGAAATAATCCTACCGCACAGACTATTGAAGCTGAAGTTAGCCACGCCCTTCCGGGCTTCCTTCTTTCTCTGTAGTGAGAATGGCAACACTTCGGGATTCCTGTAAGGGTTTGGTAGATGAAGTCTTTGGAAGCTGTTGGCAAACTAGAAAACATCACTTGCTCACTCACTGGCTGGCTCACTCGATCGCTTGCTTGCTCATTTATTCAACTATGCCATGCATACATAATTCTAGGTTCTGGGGACTCATTATGAAAAGAGATAAATTCACGTTCATAGCACTTATGTTAAAGGGGGAAACTTGATGACTAAATAAGAACTGTATGTTTTTATCAAAGTGTGATACAGAAAAACATACATATGTCTAAGACATATTCATAACATGCCATGAACTATGCATTGCAGTGAGGAACACTGGAATAGGAAAAAAAAAGGCAGGTGGGCTAAAGGGACAATTGCCGAGTCCTGCATGCCTTACTGGAAGTGAAGACAGAAGGGGAGGGGGAGGGGCCAGGCAGGAGGAAGGGGGCCACTGAAGCCATAGTAATGCCTTTGGATTTTTCTTCTAAGGAGATGAAAAGTGTGGCAGGGTTTTTAGAGGATTGACGTCAGGAGAGTCATTGGAGGCCATGCCAAAGTTCACTTGAGAGGAAAAGGGTTTGCCACCCCAGGAGTTGTTGAGAGCCTGAGGGGACTGGGGGTGTGGGGTTTGGATGGGTTTACAGCAGAGGCAAAGCCAACAGTACTTAATGGTGGACTTGGTGTATATTAGTGACAGGAAGAGGGGTTCAGGTGATCTTAGAGTTTCTACCCAATGTCGCCTCAAGAACAAAGTTCACTATGTGAGATGGGGAAGTGAGGGAGGGAGGGGGTTGATAACTAAGGTTCAGTCCTAGGTGGCAAGATAGAACCTTGTGTGTTATGGTCATATTGAGCATGCTTTGAACAAGGTGACAAAGTGTGTTTATTTCCAGAGCGGTTCACTCTCTCACGTTTCTCCCTTCCCACCGTGTCACATGGTTATCAATTACTGACACCTGTGAAGGATTACAGGGGGAGGAGTAGAGAAAGGAGACACCTACAGACTCTACGTACTTCAATTACAAATCCTGGCACAGTGGGCACTGGAGCGTCTGTCCTGGGTAGACTTGATCGACACGACACAGTGGGCACTGGAGCGTCTGTCCTGGGTAGACTTGATCGACACGAGCTATTCCTAGCAAGATAACACACATTTTTCTTCATGCAGGATCCCTCGGGTCATCTAGAAAAGGGTCTGAGTGGACAGAGTCCCATTGGTGAACGGAGTCCCTGTGAATTCCTGCCACCTGCTACCACGAGCTGGAGACGAAGATCATCCTCTGCTTTGGGAAGATTAGAAACATGTCAGGAAAGCAGGTAAAGAAAAAGTTACTTTTGTTTTTGTTAGGAAACTCTGATAAAATCGTCTAGGATTCTCTTAACTTGGGATATAGGCCTGGATCTGTTTACAGGCTATGTAAGGAAGGTAACTGTTTATGTTGTCAAGGAGGATGGAGGGACATTTGTCCCATTCACCATGACCAGCTCCCCCTGAGCCTGGCAAGATCAACATGCATAGTGATGTTTCCAGCTCTGTGTGTGTAGCTGACTGTTGCTATGGAATTTTTCCTCATAATTACACACACACACACACACACACACACACACACACACACACACACACACACACACCTGGAGTCAATACTGAAAATAAGAGAGCCTTTGATTAATGCAAAATTAATTTTGGAAGCATTAGTTGGATAAAGAGAAGACCATCCAAAGAAGTGTAGATCTATCCTGCACCCTTTACAGATGCAGGGGCCATGCCCTCAGAAGCTTCTTGCTTAAGGAACAAATTATCATCATGGATGTTTTTACCTCTGTGCACTTTGCATGTCAGTTTCTAATCTTCTCTTGACCACCAAAAAAGATTCTGGTCTTTTTTTTTTCTTCTCTCATGCTTGCCATGAGTCTTTCAGCCAGTCTTCCAACCCACCCTCCTCACTTACCAAATGTTGATGAAATGCTTCTAAAAAGGTGTTTAAGTACCTGGAGTGCATGCCCATAATTCTAACAGCTCAGAAGCAGAGGCAAAAGGATTTTGAATCTGAGACCAGTTTGACCTGTACAAGATCCTGTTTTCAAAATAAATTAAAAAACCCAATCCATGTCGTCTGAGGTGACATGCTCTCGTGGTGGAAGAAAAATGTATGTTCTGACTGTCGTAACTATAATATTAAGTTAGTGATAAGGCCACCAGTGGTGTACCTAAAGCAGCAAGCAAATGCTACTTCCCAAAATAAGATGAAATGAACCATTAGAGTACAGCCTAAACATCACCTAATCTTATGGAGCCACATGAACTAACCTCTGACTCACCACCCCTAAACATTTAGAAAAGTACCATCTCCCAACGTCAGCCCAGGGGTGGGGGGCTGGGAGAGGCGTGGGGGGTGGAGCTTTCCCGGCAGCATGATGGAAGCAGGGCATCTCCACCTGAATTCAACCGGGAGATAATTTCTCCCTTTTGTCTCAGACACAGCAATCTTGTCCAAAAGCCACTCAGTAGGTGTCCACTCAAATATGATTGGCCAAAGCTGAGTCATATGGTCATGTCTAATTTGAGACACTTTGAGAAGTGGAAAGATGAAGGATAGAAAATGGGTAAGATGGTGGCATTCTGTGGAAATGTTCATTCTGAGATGGATAGATAGAAGACAGTGTTTGCAGGACCTTTGGAGGGGGATGAAACCATCCATTCTCCCAGCTTAAACATATCCCCACACATTTTTGGGTGGACTTCCCTAAGCATGGAAGAAGTGGGTTAAGAATCTTGCAAGCTTCTTTGAGCTTCTCTCAGTGACTGACCTTCATGGTGCTCTGCAGTGATACCATGTCTCAGGGAATGATATGCAGTGAACACTCAATGTGAATTGAAATTCTAATAATGCATGAAAAGATGTATTTAGCTCACAGCAGTGTTAGGCTCAGCGATGGTGCAGACTAAACAAAGATCACTCCTTGACCTCATCACTTCATGGTCAAGAATATAATGCCAGGAGTGTGCATGGAACCAAGCCAATCCTTACACCCCAAACCAGGAGAAGTGAGCAAGGTCCAGACTTTTCTCCTTTTCACAGTGCTGTCAGAAGAACTCAAGTGGTCACTTGTCAACTACCTTATGCCTTTGATGACCAAAGGTTCCACAACACTTCTCATCACCAGCACCCTACAGATGGGCCCTTTGGTTACAGTGAGTCTTTGGGGACAAACCATATTCTAACTATATCACTGACTACCCTGGTATTAGAGAGTTGGAGATCAGTTTTAGTCAGCTATATCTTAAGAAGCATCCACAAAACCTTGGTTGCATTCAACAATGAGCATGTGTCATTTCATCAATGGGCATGTATCCATTCAGCAATGGGCATGTATCTGCGGCTTGGCTAGTCTAGACTAGCTAGTCTAGACGGGGGAACTCTCTGAGGTCTGATGGCTAGACTTGGTGGGGATTGTGGCAGTCCACCATGTGTTCCTTTGCATTTCCATTGAATGTGCAAAGATTCCCTAGGCAGCTCCTCTCCCAGGGATGTCAGAAACACAGCAGGACAGCCCTCAAAGCCTTTTAACATCTTGTCTCAGAACTGGCTCTCTGCCACTTTGTCAAATTAGACAGAGCAAGCTCAGAACCAAGGTCAAGGGCAATGCAAGATGGAAGCCAGGGAGGATGCACAATTACTGGCAAGGGGCATGGGCAGAGAAAAGGTGAGGAACTGGAGCAGTGATACCTCAGTCTGCCCGAGGATATACATCGAGTAAAAGGCAGAACAAGGGAAAATCCCCAGCAAATGTGAAGCCAGGGTGCCCAGGGCAGACCTGTAACTCTCGCTTTCCACAGCTGCATCTCGTTGTAGTTCAAACTACACCCTGCAGTCTGTTTAGAATAGGACGTCCCAATGCTGGCTCCATCCCACTCCGGTCCATTTGTTATTTATTCAGTAGCGCCGGACAGCTCTCCAGGCGGTGATCTGGATGTTGACTCCTCTAGTGTGGTTGTTAGGGGAAACATTTCATTTCACATCTGCTAATACAATTTGCTGTCTCTCATCTAAAAAAGGGGAGGTGGAGAAAAAGGAAATTTATACTCCGCTGCCTGTAAAGGATAGCGATTAATTTATTCCGAGCTATATACAAATCAGACTATCGTCTTTCAGACAGAATCAATAATACATTTTTAAGCCCACACACGCTTACAAATGCTAGCACTCCAGTGCAGCTGGGTTGCCATGGGCAACCGGGGCATGCCAGCTCTTGATCTGAAGCAGGCTGCTGTCTCCCAGCCTTGCAAGCACATTTGGCAGACAGAATTCTAGGGAGCCCAGGGCGCCTGTGTTGGCTCTGATCTGGCTGCCTCACTAATGCACCCCTGTGATGGCTCAGATTAGCCCTTGTCTGAATTGCTTAGCGCTCTTTAAGCTCCTTCTTGCAACAGCTTTCTTTGATATACTCTGTGTCTCTGAGGTCTAGGCGTGCACAGAGGGTCTAGATGAAGGAACTGTGGGGGTCAGCAGGTGACGAGAACAGGTAGAGAATGAATGGCATGGGTGCTTAGTGTAGCTGGACACAGAGCTCAGCTCAGTGGGCTGGCTGCTAACCTGGAAAGCAGGGCCAGTGGATGCCGTGGCATAGCTGACAGTCCTCAGCAAAGCCTGGCCATAGAATAATTGATCGGTCTTTTGACTCTTAAGACAAGGAGAAATGGGATTACGAATTCCTTTTGCCGTGTTGGACCGCCAAACAGAAAACTTTCTCCCTAGTATACATTTATCAAAAGATCCATCAAGCAAGATCCTTGCACTGTACTTATAGCACTAGACTAGGTGCCACTCCAGAGACAAATACCTAAAGGCTCTGTGTTTCTGAAGAAACCATCACTACCTCTGTTTGCTTAAGCTGCAAACCCTCTCGGAGTGAACCAGCCATCCCAGGTGCCACTAGGAATTCAGTGACACTGTAGCAAAATGAACTGTAATTAGAATTATTGTTTTAACATCCTGTCATTTACATCTAATTACCATGTACCACAATAAAAATTATCATGAAATATGTGTCAGATTTGCTTTTTTATTGACTTTATTTAATTACAATCCTTTACTTGCACAGTTTTTGCCTGGACCCATCCTTGCTTCCTGGATATTTTCTGTTCAGAATGGAAACTACTTATGAGGACAGTATTAGGATCAACCCTCCCTCCTGCCCTTCCTCCCTTTCTTCTCATGGTGAGAAGGGTTCAACTTATGCTTCCCTTCTTGGTCAAGTAAGGTAGGGACTCTGTCCCCACACTCCTAAAAGCCTTTTCTGAATTTGAGAGTCCTCCCCAAAGACACAGTTATTCAGGCTGTTCAAGAGTGTTACACATGCCAGGAAGGGTGAGTCTGAGTGCTTAGGTGTTCCCTAAGGGAACTATGTCTGTCTGGTATCCATGCAGTATCCTGAAACCAGCAGCCATCCTGGGGGAACCTGTGATGCTTCGAGCTCAGACATCTCCCACAAGGCCTCAGCCTTCAGGGAAGCCCAGACTTCAGAGTGTGGAGCCCCCCGACTGGCTGCTGCGGACCTGCCTCACTCAAGAAAGGATGTGTAGCCACTCGGTCAGCACACTCAGGAAGACACCTCTGCACCACGCAGACCTGGCCCACAGTCTGAGGGCTGAAAAGGTAAGACGGCAGTGGGCAGACTACACACTCATCCCTAGGGAAATCTCAAGCAGAGCTTGGGACTGGGTCCCCAAGGTATATCAGGAGTTCACCTACTGCCAACAACTCAGTGAAAACTGGGGGCCATAGTCAGACTCCTCTGCATCTGCTTGGTGCCCACTCTTGCTGGAATATCCCCAGGTAACCCAGGACCCTCTGGCACCTCTATACCTCTCTTCTCTCTCCTTCAGATGCCCACTGTCTTAGGGTTTCTATTGCTGTGAAGAGACACCATGACCATGGCAACTCATAAAGGAAAACATTTAATTGGGTCTGGTTTACATTTTCAGAGGTTTAGTCCATTATCATCACAGTGGGACATAGAAGTGTGCAGGCAGACTTGGTGCTGGAGAAGGAGCTGAAGCAACTATGTGTCACAATGGGTGTAGCTTGAGCATATAAGACCTCAATGCCCGGGGGCTGGAAAGATGGCTCAGAGGTTAAGAGCACTGGTTGCTCTTCCATAGGTCATGAGTTCAATTCTCAGAAACCACATGGTGGCTCACAACCATCTGTAATGAGATCTGGTGCCCTCTTCCCTCTTCTGACGTGCAGGCAAATGTGCAAGTAGAACATTGTATACATAATAAATTAATTAATTAATAAAAAAGATCTCAAAGCCCACCTCCACAGTGCTACACCTCATCCAACAAGACCACACCTCCTAATAGTGACACTCCTTATGGGCCAAGCATTCAAGCATGAGCCTATGGAGGCCATGCCTATTCAAGCCACCACATCCACCCTCCACCTTCCAAGGCCCAGCTCCATTCTTTTCTTTCTTAGCTCCTGTGATAAGTCACAGCCCTGCTGATACTGTATGGGTCTAAATAAATTCCACTGACCCAAGTCCCAAACACTTATGGAGAGCTTTGCCCTGGAGAAAACCACACTCAACAGTCTCTGTCCCAGGACTTGACCTGGCCAGCACAGCTTTACCTCAAAGGTGGTTTTATGTGGCAGCAGCATGGTAAGGTTTTTAGTAAATAAAGAGGGGGTTTTGGTTCAATGGTGTAGCTCTTGCCTAGCAAAGGCAATGTCTTGGGTTTGGTCCTGAGAAAAGACAGAAGGAAAGAAAGAGAGGTAGAGTGTTTTTGTTACATGTCCTGGTTAGTATTTTTTTGTTAACCTGACATAAGCTAGAGCCATCTGGGAAGAAGGAACTTCAGCTGAGAAAATGTCTCCATTAGATTAGCCTGTAAGCAAGCCTATAGAACATTTTCTTAATTTATGATTGACATGGGAGGGCCCAGCCCACTGTGGGCGATGCCACACTTAGGCAGGTGGTCCTGGGTTATATCAGAAAACAGGCTGAGTAAACCATGGAGAGCAAGTCAGTAAACAGTGTTCCTCCATGGCTTTTGCTTCAGTTTCTGCCCCTAGGTTCCTATCTCGAGTTCGTACCCTGACTCCCTTCAAAGATGCAATGGGGACATGTAAGCCAAAGAAACCCTCTCCTCCCCAAGCTACTTTTGGTTGTGGTGCTTATCACAGCAGCAGAACACAAACTAATTCATCCACTGGAATGAGAGGGAGCACATACAGGAGTTCATGATTACTCTTGTTTAGAATGAGTCCAAGGAAGATAGTATTTGACGTGCTTTCTTCAACCAAGACCATTTAAAGAAAACCATCTGGGACACAACTCAGAAATGGCAAGATGACCTTGAATTTCTGATTCTTCTGTCCCAACATCCTTTGTGCTGAGATTATAGGCACACACTACCACACCTAGTTAATGAGATGCTAGGGATCACACCCAGGGCCCTGTGCATGTTAGGGGCTATCCCCAGCTAAAGGCCTACCCTATTTGGTAAATTTTCAGGGCACAGTTTAGTATGGTTCTGGCCACTCTACCATGCCACACAGCAGATGGCTAGAACGAACTCATCTCTCAGGATGGCAGCTACATGGATGGCCTTTTAAAAAGCTGAGAAACTCCATAAGATCCAATGATTCTACCCCTGGGTTCACACCAAAAGAATTAGAGGTTTCTAAAGAGAAAGACGGATCCCCATGAATATAGAACCATTTGAGCATAACTGAGAGATGAAGATGAAATAGCCTGGATTTTGTCTGCGGACTGTACTTCCCTGTGAAGTATTGCTTATGATCACACTGGGTTTGTTTTTTTTTTTACCACGTCAGAAATATAATAGGATCAGAAACTCCCGGTGTGGATGTGTGGGAGTGGGCATATAGTCGAGAGTGTAGGGGACTGTGGGATGATGCCATTGCAAAACAAGAGAGACAGCCTAAAAATGGCATGGATTTAAATTCACTGTGGGAAAACAAGCATGCAGGAGCTATTTTAATTTTATGTTAGAACTGACAAGAGCTAGAGTTGTTCATAGGGCGGAATATTGGCTCTGGGTGTAGGAAAAGAAGACATCAGACTCCTGCCTTCATTGACAGATGGCAGCAAAGAGCCCAGGAAGAAAGTAGGTGGCAGGACCTGGCCTGGTTTTGTGGCTAGTACCTGCCCATGTGAGAACTGGCCCTGGTTTATGACTAGGAACACCAGATTCCTTTCATCTCCCAGGAGCCCAAACTTGTTCCCACCACCCTATGCTGGCTTCTTCTTATTGGACTTCACCCATCCCTACATCTTGCTCCCAAGAAATTTCTAGATGGTTCAGTCTTAGTCTTTTGAAGACACTGTCATTCTTCAGCAAGGCTAAGTATCTAAGTAGGCAGAAGTGTGGTGGCAATTGGAACATCTGTCACAGCCAGTGGGGAGATCTGCTAGGGTGGGGACCATTCTTTTTTTTTTTTTTTTTTTTTTTTTGGTTTTTACGAGACAGGGTTTCTCTGTATTGTTTTGGAGGCTGTCGGTCCAGCCTGGTCTCGAACTCACAGAGATCCGCCTGCCTCTGCCTCCCGAGTGCTGGGATTAAAGGCGTGCGCCACCACCACCCGGCTATGGTGGGGACCATTCTAGACGCAATTGAAGGACACACGGCATGGTCCCAGGCTGCTCATGATGCTATAGCAAATACCTGACACTGTGCAGTGTATAAAGGTTTGTTTGGCTCATGATTCCCGCGGCACCAGAGCCCTCCCTGTGTCTGGAGAGGACCAAGCCGGTTGCATCCTACCATGGTAGGGAGGAAGCAGCAGGCAGCATGCAGAAGAGGTGGTTGCTCTGTCTCTTTAACTGATCAAATCACAGTGAGCATCCTTCTGCCGCCTTACTTTCTTCTGTGCCCTGCCTCTTAAAGGTCCTACAGCCTAACACGGCCATAGTGGGGCCTCCGGTGTAAGGATCCTATCCAGAGCACTTGGGCAGTCTGTCAGTTTGATCGGTGACATGTGGAACTAGATTTTTTTTAAAGGCAGAAACAATCCAGTCAAACTTCCTTCCCTTGGAGATAAGGTAAAAGCCAGAATTGTGAGCTCTCTTCAGTTCACTCAGGAGGTTTTTGAGTGTCTATGTGGAGCAGACCCCAGTCCCTGATATGTGAGGTTCCTGCCTCCTCTGAGCCTCACTGGGACAGTCTTGCAGACTCTGGACATTCTTGTTTCTGGGGGGAGGTCTGTCAGGGTGTGGGCAGCCAGTCAGACACCATCATGGTCAGCACTACCGGAGATGCATCCATCAGTTGCAGCTAGGAATAATGACTCAGAACATGTTCTCTGAAGGAGCCAGTCACAGCTGTACCTGCAGTCCTGAAAGGGGAAGGTCAGACCCTGGATGTGGGAGAGGGATGTGGAGGCCAACCCAGGAAGCTTGAAGCTGTAAGCTTTTCTCACACACTTGGTAAGTGCCCACTGTGCCCATTATTTACAGCTGAGAGCTCCATGATGACTGAGTCCCGCCCCTGCTAACATAACAAAGCCTTCTTACAGAGCATCCTGTGACTTCCGAGCTGCAGGTCCTGGCCCACCACTGGATGATGACATCAATTTAGTAGTAATGAGCCCAATTTAGGGAAAGGAAAAGCAGAGCTGGATGGAGGCAAAATTGCACATATTTAAGATAAATACATTTCACAGACATCACCCCGGGTATAACCTTGTGTGTATGTGTTTGTACACACGTACATATCTTTGGAGGGAGTGATATTCCAGGTCTGTGATACAACCAAGTATTGACATGAATTAATAGTCAGTGCATCAGGTATTGATTGCTCTGACACTGTTGTATAACAACCAGAAAATCTCAAAGGCACAAGAAGCACTGATTTGTCTGAGTTGGGCAGATCTGTTCTCTGTGATTGACTGGCTCATGTATTTGGGAAACAGCAAAACTACTGGCTGAATGTGGCTGAATGTGGTAGGGGTCACTGGGCAATTTGGCCTTCTGGGTGTGTGTCTCTTCTGGTAGACTACCTTGGGCCTGCTTTGCAGTGGTGACATGAGCTGGAGGCTAGACATGCTAGCAATTAACATGATCACTTAAAATGCTTAGCATATGACCCACAAGAAACTCAGCGATGGTTAGACAGCAGCAGAAGGGATGTCTATGGGAATTATTGTAGAATCAATGTCACTTTGTTGATCTTCTGACACCTAATAGATCTATAAAAAATGATGATTTGGGCTTAATTTTTTTGAATTGTTTGTTTCTGTATAGCCCAGGCTGTTCTTGATCACCTGACTCTCCAGTCTCAGTCTTGCTAAAGCAAGGTGGTGGTCTTTTTTCTTTTATTAATTTTAAATTTTATGTGTATGGATGCTTTGAAGGCTTACATGTATATGTACCATGTATGTGCCTGCTGGATCCCCTAGAACCAGTACTATGTTTATGAACTACCAAGTGGGTTCTGGGAATCAAATCCAGGTCCTCTGTAAGAACAAGTACTCTTTACCACAGAGCCACCTCTCCAGCCCCCAAGGCAGTCTTCTTTAAAGGCCTCACATCCTTCTGATTTTGAGAGGCCTTGACACAATCCCCCAGACAGTATGTTGCCTTCTTCGATCACTCATAGGATAGTTTCTTTTATTTAAGCAGTGTCTTCATACTTGTACTAGCTTTCCATTGCTGTGACAAAGTGCCCAAGGTAAACAACTTAAAAGGAACAAAGGTTTACTGTGGCTCACGTGGTCAGAAGTTCCAGTTCACAGCAAATGAGCCCTGCCTGTTGCTTTGGGTCTGTGGCTTCACAGTGCACTGTAGAGGGGGTGTGTGACAGAGGAGTCCCAGTCACCTCATGACAGCTGGGAGGCAAAGAAAGATCAAACTCTCAACATTCCTTTCAAGACAACACTCCTAATGTCTTCACTTCCTTCCACTACTCCCTATCCCTTAAATGCCCCACCAACTCCCAAGAGTGCCATAGGCTTGGGGACCAAGACTCTAATACCTGGGCCTTTGGGATATACTTCAGATCCAGTTTATAGGAATAATCATAATTGCATGAATCTCATTCCCTTCAGGACCCATCCCTCTGCCCTTCTGGAATACCCTTCCTCTCTATGAATCTTAGGACTAACAGGTCATGTCTATTTTCTGAAACTGTAGGGTTAGTTTCATGATACAGGCTGACCTGCCTGCCTTCCTTCTTTCCATCCACCCATCCATCCACCCACCCATCCATCCATCCATCCCCTCCCCCATAATCCTATATTTTCTAAAAGGAAGCTATCCTGAGACAGAGGCAGAGAGCAGGAAGGCCCAGGAGGAAGAAATAGATTTTCAAAGGGATACTTTATTCGATTAATTAGTCAATTCCCCTGTTGTAGAAGAGAAATTATCTGTAAACCACACTGGCAGAGAAGACTCTTACTGCAAGGAACAAAATGACGCTGGGTTGTTAACAATAGAAGAGCTCATTTGCATTGCAAATGAGCAACCAGCAGGCAAATGAGCCCTTCTGGGAAAACCACTCTAATCATAAACCTGCTTGCCTTGGGGAGACTGCAGCTATGGACAAGCAGAGTCAGGGCTCCCAGAACTCCTTCTAATAGAATCTGCCAGGGAAGGAGCCAGGTAGTTTTCTACGAAATTGCATTTGAATGGAGCAAATGCATTGCTTGGCAGTGCCTGGTGTCTTTAAAAGTCCAATCCTTGGTTGCAGACTGACTTATTTGTGATGATCACTTATAGCCTCGACAGTTTGGATATAAAATAGTCAGACATTGCCCTCTGTTTTTTATTTGTAGGAAAACACGTCATTCATGTGTCTTGGTGGGGGAATGTGTCTCGCTGGTGGTACCAGTTAGGAAGTCTCAAGCCCTGCCAACCACAGGAGCACCCAAAAGGGACATATGTTTTCTCGGCTTCGTGTTCCAAATTTGCCTTAAAAACATGCAATTACAGGAAGTCCTGGTTTTATATTTTCAAGGAACGGCACAATAATGGCCCTGTTTTGTTGCAGTGTTTTTCCAAAAACCTATGTTTATTGCTACCCTTTTCTTTTTTTTTCAAAAGAGCTTGGTTAATGATCACTAGGTTTTCACTTTCCTGGGTCACAGATGAAAATCTGACAAGGTCTCTGAGAGCTAAAGACAGTTTTGTTTTGTTTTTTTATTTGTTTGTTTATTTTTTAAGAGCAATGGGAATTCAGTTAACATGGCCTGGCAAGGACTGACAAGCCTCTAGTTACCTTCACCCTGTCCCCTCTTTTGATGGCAGGAAGAAGGAGGCAGGAATGTTTGTGTACCAAGAACAGCCAGGAAGCAAAGAGACACTGGAAACCACACAGCACAGTGCACACCCTGTCTGATGCACAAAAAAAGCTGTCAGTATCTCCTGCTTGGATTCTGGAGGAGGCCAGGGATAGGCTGTGTTTGCAGGGGCTGGCTCTGGGGCATAGCTGGGAAGGGCCACATCTTATTCATACATGAAAATTACCGTGGAGTCCTTTATAAATTATACAATCACACTGGCTTGCGAATTCCGCCCTTTGTTACTGTTATTAATGGAGGCTTTCACGCCACTCTCTCGGCACTATTTCTAGTACATTTGTAGAGCAAATAGAAGTTTGTGTCTTCCCGGATTGGGGAGCCCTCTCCTGGGAGGCAGGGAAATGTTTTGTCGCTATTGTTAATTGCGCTTTTATTCTGGAATGGAGATCCAGGAGGCTGAAAGGCCAATTCTCTATCTATAATGTTATGACAATTTTAAATTTCAGGAACTATTAAGATGAAGAAAAAGTCCCTCTGGGTAGTGAAAAGATGGAAGCTTGTGTCAGAAATAGCACTCTGGGCTCTTCCTTCTGAAACGGGGCATCTGGGTTGCTGGATCTGGTTTTGTGCTCTTGGGTAAAAATAATCCTCCTGCCTCAATCAGTAGACTAGCTAGAATTATGAATATGCACTAACATGCTCAGCCATTTCAGTATGTGAATATCGTGTGTGTGTGTGTGTGTGTGTGTGATTGCTTTGTACAAACTTGTAGTTACCTGGTCCTCCCAAGGCTGCGTCTTCCTGTGAAGGCTCAGCTCACATATTTTCTCATTTGTGCGACCTGTGAGCCTGGGAAAGTCGCACCAGCTTTTCTGGATACCGGGCAAAGTTTGGTTGATGAAAACTGAATTTGCTCCCTAGAAATAAATGTCTATTCTGTGACCGGCGAAGCAGCTCCTCAGACTGATAGGATCATCTTTCGTCTGTTTTTAAATACTGTCCAGATCTTTGTAACCGCTCCGGGTTTTGTGTTTTTCTGGAAGACCCCAACAGTGAGATGTTCAGAGAGTTGGGTTTCCGATTTTGATCCTCCATGAAAATGAGTTTAAAAGTAGCCATCGATCATTCAAGATAGAATTTGAAAGATATTTGTATTTTATTATGATGGTGACTTACTCAGTAGCTTTGGGAGTTTTGTTGCGGGGGGAGGGCGGGGTTCCCACTTTGGAGGCAGATACAAATCGATTTCAGATGATTTTCAGCCGGTTCTCCGTCTCTGTCCATCATAGGCCACACTGTAATTCAGCTCATCCCTACCTGTTAGGAATAAAGAATAATGGGTTGGGACCACCGGTAGCAGGTCCCCAGTCCCTCATTGAGCTCGTGGTGATCATGGTCGGGGCAGGTGAGTGATGGACAGAGGTTGGACAAGGAAACAGAGACATTAGACGTGACTCATATCGAACGTTTTATTGACGGGGAGGTAAGAAAATAAGGTAAAGAGACACAGAGACAGAGAGGGGACAGAAGATAGGAGGAAGACAGGAAAAGTCCTGTCTGCCCCAAGGAAATAGCAGGAAGGAGCATAAGTGGGCGGGGGCGCGGGGGGGGGGGGGGGAGCTCTGTCTTTTAAGGGTCCTTTGCACCTGTGTGCTGGTAGTCATGGAACCCTGGGCTGACCAGGGTACTGCCTGAGTGCATTCTGCCAGGTGACAAGGGCAGGCCAGTAGAATGCCTGAATCCTCATACTACCCACTGCTTTTCATTCTAAACCAGAAGTTTGGGGATTCGTACTGATAAAAAGACAAACTTTTGATATAGCAGATAAGAGACGGGGAGTGAGAAATGTGCGCTGGTGATCTGTGTACTGAGCTGAGGGAGGTGGACTAAGAGAGAACAAAACGTTTAGCCCAGGAAAAGATGGCAATGCACAGGGGTCCTGGGTCGGGGTCTGGTCACTTCACAGGGCCCTCAGAATCAAGGCAAAGTATTCTCACTCTCCCTTTTCACCTCTCAGCCCAGCTTCTGGTCTTTTTGCTTCTTCTGTTTCCTCCAAGTCAGTCCCCACCCTCACCCTCTCGACCGCCTCAGCCCAGACCACCCAACCTGATGGCAGAATCTGGGGCTGAGGGCTGAACAGAACCTGCAGACTCCGAACAGTGAAACTGCAACAGCTTGGTTGCTCGGCTCTGGGAAAAGAAATTACTGGTGGCCAGAGATTCCTTTTCGTGGGTGTTAATCCTCGCATTATTGGTTGTGACTTGTTTTCTTTTGCTTTTGTGAGATTGAACATCAAGTGAACCTGGAGGAGCTACAACATTTACACGCTCTCTTTGAGGTAGGCACGAGCCAGGTAAACTTTTAAATGCCTATCTGGGCAATTTGATTCTTTTCTTGATACTTGATTTTTCAGTACAAAGTGCAAACTTTTAAAATTTCCGTAAAGTAACCACGAAGACTAACTTTTTTGATTGTCTCTTCTTAGTGGAATTAAGTCATATTGCTTTTATTTTCACCATCTAATTTGTTTTTATTTTAATTGTTTAATTTTTAACTGATTCCTAAAAGTGCACAAAACAGAAATCCCATGAGAAACCAGTCGTGTTTAGGTGAATCTAATTAGATGTTCAATATTTTGGACGTTAGCTCCTAGACTCAACAAGACACAATGTCTCTAAGTTCTCAGTTGATTGTTTATCTTTCCTTTTATTTTATTCGTAGGAACATGGAAGGAGAGGAAGGCATCTGCTGGATATGGAGACATTCAAATGCATAATGAAGCAAAGTATGAGACCACACAGCCAAGTAAGTGGGTTTTATAAATATCAGATCATGGAAAGAGCAGCTAACGCTGTAACCACACAAGCGGTCTAGATCCCGGCATCTCTGTAGACATGGTTCCTCTCTACTAAGACCTGATTGAGTTAGCGGACAGCTTACTTGGGATAGTGGTTTGAAAACCACTTGGTAGACTAGAGAAATGAGGCATTTAGAGATGTTCCCTAGGAGGAAAACAGGATTCTTATTAGATTATTGCTTAATTACATGTATGCTTTCATCCCAAAGACAACCACTTAATTTCTCTTAAATCCTCCACCCCCTCCCCAACAACTGGAATCTAGTGGTTTACTCCGTCTCTGCCATCTTCCTTAACTCAAAATATTTTTAAGCTTTCTTTTGTATTCTTTGACAATTTCATATGCACGTAAAATGTATATAATGTATTTGTGTCATTTTTCACTCCTACCTTATCCCCCTTTTCCCTCCTCTATTCCCACTAAACCCTTTCTGTTCCCAACAGCTCCCCTCCTACGTCCATGGCTGTGTTGTTGTTGTTTGTTTTTGTTTTTTGGTGGGCCCCTGAGTTTAATTAGGATTGCTTCCATGAACATGAGCGGGGCTATTTTCTGAAGCATAGGCAGCTTACTAGAGTACAAAGTCTTAGTGAGCAGGACTTTAGGGGCCAGGGGAATCTTCGGGTGGTAGAGTGCTTGCTGCAGATTGAGTTTAGCTCCCTGGCATACAAGTAAAGAGCTGGGTGTAGTGGCACGTGTCTGTAACTCCAGCACTGGCGGTAGGGATGGGGCAGGAGAATGGATGATGGGAGCTTGGTAGCCAGCCAGTCTAACTAAAGTGGTGAGTTTCAGGTTCCCTGAGAGACCCTGCCTTGAAAAATAAGATGGACAGCAATAGAGGAAGTTGCCTGCCTTCAACCTCTGCCCTCTGTGCACCCTTGCACATGTTCTTGCACACCTGAACATGGATTCACACACGCACAGACACCGCACCTGAGGACAAGCTGTTTAGGTGCTATCCCTCAAGGTCTCATAATAGCCTCTTGTTGCAGAAGAAAATTCAACATGAAGCTCTAAGAGCTGGGGCTGGAGGCTCTGAGGGCTGTTACACCCAAATCTGTTTCTTAGTCAGGAACTTTAGGGGAGTGACTCAGCATCTCAAAGCCTGTCTTTTCAGTGGTGAAGTCAGAGGGAGATGCTGCCTGAACAGGGGCTGCTCTGCCACTCTGGGGAATAAAACGTACAGAGACCCAAAAGGCCATGTGAGTAAACAGTCAGAAATTGATAACTCTTTGTTAAATGAGTAATAACGGGCTTCAATTGGTAAAGGACTACTCTGTGATGTTCTGGGCCACATTTTACTTGGCATAAATGACTGTAGACAGCTCAATATCTATCTTGAATTCTCTTTGTGTGAGACAGCCGTATTTCCAAGTTTCTTCTCTCTCTCCCTCTGTCTGTCTCTCTCTCTCTCTCTGTCTCTCCCTCCCTCCCTCTCTCCCTCTCATGTATGATGTATGTGTGTGTGTGCCATGTGTGTGCAGTGACCAAGGAAGCCAGAAGATAGTGTTGGATCCCCTGGAGCTGGAGTTATAGGTGGTTGTGAGCCACCTGACATGGCTGCTTGGAACTGAACTTGGACCCTTTAGAAGAGCAGCAGTGCTCTTAATCACTGAGCCAGCCCTCTAGCCCACATCTTAGAGCTTCAAGTTGGATGTTCCTCTATAATGAGAGACTTTTATGAAATCTTGACAGAGTCCACACAGCTTGTCCTTTATGGTATGTAACTCATGTCATGAGGAGAATTGTGTGTGTTGGTTCAGTTTTAACTACAATGGCAGAAAGTCCTCACCAGCAAGACCAATGTGAGACAGAGCTTTTACCCCTTTGCCTCTCAACTCTGAGTCCTTGACCTCTTACAGTGTTTGGCATATTCTTGGTGTAGAGTGTAGCCTTCCCCGCCACCCGCCTGGGCCCTGCCACAGTTGCAGTCCCCAAATAACACACAGGACGCTATATTAATTATAAAGCTGTTGGCCGTTTGCTTGTTTCTTACTGGCTAGCTCTGACTTAAGTATTTAACCCATAATTGTTAATCTAAGTATTTCTCTTACCAGAGACCTCTTACTCCTCTGGAGGCTACATCCTGACTTTCTGTGTCTCTCTTTCCCAGAATCTTCCTCGACTCCTAGTCCCACCTATCTTGCTTCCCTATTGGCCAACAGTATCTTATTCAAATCAATCAGATACATTTTTACAGAATGACATCTCCCAACATCCTTGGTGCTCAATATGGGGTTTCTCACTGAGGTCACTAACATATGAAGGGAGTAGTTCAGTGTCCCTCAGCAACCCTTATGATCAGGCCTGCTGATCCCAGCTTCCTCAGCAGAGCCACTCCTGGCACACCTAATCTTATTGGTCCACAATCCTTACTGCATGACTCACAATACTGCACAGCCCTCACTTCTGCCACCTCATCCAGAGCCCTGAGGGGCCCTCCTGAGCACATTTGAGACCTCCCAGGCTCTGCTGTGATCTCAACAGGCAGGCTGAATCCAGGTTGCAGTAACTATCACCCCAGGCTTTCTGCTTTCTGTTTCATCTCCGATCCCAGGCTTTTATGAGGCCATCCCTCAGGGTGAAAGGGGTTATTTAGACACATTCCACAAACTTCATTAAACCTGAGTTCATGGTATCCTCTGCTGCATCTGCACCTCTTTCTCCAATAATCTGGTGAGGTCTATAAACCTATTTCTTTTCTCTTCAGAGTATTGGACAAATAGAGCAACTCTTCATGAAAATAGACTATGAGGCAGTAGGGAGAATCCAGTGGGTAAGTTACACTGTGTAAATCCAACTTAAAGTTGGTAAGGAATGAGCATGACACCTCATTTGGAGGCTGGCTTAGTCCCTTTGGCCAATCAAAGCTGAACCAAAGACAAGTGCTGGCTTGCAATTTTCGAATTCTTCTATGAAGGAAGGAGCTTAGCTGGGAATCTCACTAGCTCAGGCAAGCTCCACATAGGCCACCCTAAAACCAAGTGGTGGAGCCACGTTCACCGCTTCACCTAACTGACAAAGAGAAAATAGGAAGCGAGGAATCCCTTGGATGCAATGGCTGCTGGTGGCCGATGCTGTGAGAGTCTGCAAAGGGCTTAGAGCCAGGACTGTCACAGAGTAAGTCCTCCACGAATATCACACCATCACCAATATTACTCAGTATCCAGTGTGTGATGATGAAGAGCTAAGACATCTGCTTTTACCATTCTTGGCCATCGCACCCTTCAGTACCCTTCCTTTGTCTGGTTTAAAACTGACAAAGTGAGCAGTAAGCCGTCTCTATTCAGACCTTTGGCCAATTCACCAACCAAATCAGATGTAAGTGCCTTCAGTTGTTATCTGGTTTTAAAGGGAGCATTTGGGGTTCTGGCGCACAAAAAGAAAGCTTCTAGCAAAGTGGGGGTTTGGGAAAAATAAGTAGGACATAAAAATTCCTAGAGTCTAAAGCTACCCACTCCCATGTCTGAAGTTCAAACACGACCTTCCTTTCCTTAAGCCACAGAGTAGCTTTCCGTGGGCATACTCCTAAGAACCTACGGAAGGGCACATGGACTGTGAAGCCGGGTAGATGGGGGCACAAGTCCCTGGCCAGCCGTTTCCTAGGTATTCGTTCTTAAGTGACCCACTGGAGTTTTCCACGCTTGAACCTTTCAGTTTGTAAAAAGGGACAAACTACATTCCTATCGAGAATTGAGGTGAAGGCCCACGTTGTGTGGGTCACATGTGGTGCATGGTTAGAAACAGCCACTGCCATTGCTGAGATGCCCACCTCACCCCCAAACCACCCTTAGAGGAAAAGGGGAAGTGTAGGAAGGAAGACAGACAGCTGAGCAACAGACCTCCAGGCCCAGCTGAAGGCACCCCATAGTTATTGCTCCCCAAGTTGGCAGTGTGTGCCAACAATTACATCAATTCCTAAGAAAAGAGTTTTATCCATTCTCTGATGGGAAAGAGAATTTCTGAAAGCCCAAAAGATAGCACGGCTTAACCAGTTGTCCTTTGATTTCTAGGACAGTTTGTGCACATACCTACAGCTCGAGTACTCGGAGCAAGCCAAGGCTGCGGCCCGGCGGGCAGAGGCTACCCTCCTGTTGCCTGCTGTACAGCAGAGGCTGTCATATGGGAGGCCCATGCTACGCATTCTCTCTATGCCTGATGACACCTTAATCACCATCCGAGAAGATGGAGCTATTTATTTCTGGTCCCTGCAGCTGAAGTTGAAAAGAAAAAAGCCAATTTTTGTATGTGATTTTCATTTGATAAGGATGCTGAGTGCTACAATTTGATTTTATTTGCTATTTTAAACTGCTCCTTAAGTGGTGTGATTACACAAATTGTGCCCTTGAATATATATTCGTGGCAGATTTTTTGAGTCTATGGGATGCAAATAAAACATGAGCCCTGCATGGAGTACAAGATAATGCTTCGTTCTGCTTCCAGCATCAGATGAAATGATGAATTACACATGCTTCTGTCATGTAATTTATCATGTGTCTTACTGAATGACAAATGAAATGGAATTCCCACCCCCTTTGTGGTTACGCCTGCCAGGCAGTTCTGCTAGGTTTTCTTCTGAATCACTGATCAGAAACTCAGAAGCCAAGGTGCACTGGGGAAGTGTAATAAGGAGAGAGAATGCCTGGCCCATTTCTCCCCACCCCATTCAAAAAATGTTTGAGCTCCTGTGATGAAGTTGGCTCTGTGCTGGGTACTGGGGATAGAAAGCCCTGTCTCTGCCCCTGGACAACTTAGAAGCAGAAGTTGTAGTTAAACCTCTCAGGTTGCTGAGTAGCCCATACCAGGGGAAGGCATTGGATTAGTTCTTCAGAAGTAACACATTGCCCTCCTTGAAGAAGCAGATCAATTAAAGAAAACTACAGGGGCTGGAGAAATGGCTCTGGGGTTAAGAGAACTGGATGCTTTCCCAGAGTCCCTAAGTCCAATTCCCAGCACTCACCGGGAGGCTCATAACCACCTGTAACTCTAGTACCGAGGGAACTGATGCCCTCTTCTGGCCTCTGAGGGCACCAGGCACACATGTAGAGTCCACACCTCTAGGCAAACACTCATGAGCATAAAAGTAAAATATTTTCAATAAACATAAAATAAATTTAAATTAAATAAATACGATTTTCTTATAAAGCATATAAATTTGTTTATTTTCATCTTTCAATCCTGTAGGGCAAGTCCACCAGTCGCAAGTCCCAGTGGGTGACAGACATTGTCAGCATGCCCCAGTATAACAAACTAATCGTTGGGACTGGGTAAGTATGGGAAGTTGCAGCCCAAAGTGAGCAGTTCAAGTCTGATGAAATGCATAGCCATGTCTGGTCTGAAGCCACGCAAACATACTCATTTGCAGGGTGAGGCTAAAGTGAGAGTCTTTAAAGTATTAGAACTCACGTGTCTGAGGAGACACTCTGGGTGACTTCATGCTGTGATGGCATTATCTCAGAGGATACCCTCTTGTAGGAAATACTTCTGGAACCAAGAAAGGGCCACAAGAGGAAGACATTAGTCTGAGTACTTCTTAAGCACACTTTATTTGGATTAAATGGTATATTTGTTTTCTTATCCGTCTAAATTGAGTCTTGACTGCACTGGATTAACTCAAAGGGTAAAATACACAGCTAAGACTGGGGTGCGTTCACTGCTGCCACTCACAGCTGAGGCTGCAGAGCGAGCTCCCGAAGGTTCCAGCCCTGCAGGAGTGTGAACTAAGATCACAGAGGGAGGGTGGAAGCTGAAGGCAGATTAAGCTCTGGGCTTTGGTGTGTGGCTACAGTATAGAGCAGGCTGAAGGTCAGGTTAACGTTTTAGTTAGTGAAGAGCCCTTCACCGCCTCTCTTCAAGCCTGATGCCCTGACATCCCCCACACCAAAACAGTCCCCAGGCTTTGGAACAACCACTCTCTCACGTGTCATCTCATGGTGTCTCAGTGGCTCGTCTCTAACACAGAGATTGCTAGGACCATATTTTACAGAGAAGGGAACTCAGTGGTGAGCTCCAGAGGCTGTACAACAACAACAACAACAACAAACTGTACCAGCCAGGCCCTGATGGAGAAGGGCCAGCCGTGTGACCAGGCTTGGCACCCAGCTGAAGAGATGTCTCCATGCGGAGCTTCAGGAAGCCTGGGATTCAGGCTCCATAGGGCAGGATCTTGACTGGTTGGGAGCATCCTCTTTATGGGATCCATGAGATTTAAAATAGTTCACTGGAGATGGAGTGAGGGCTTCCAGTCACTACCAACGATGCTTGCCTTGAACAGGAGCCGGAAGCTGCAGCTGTATGAACTCTCAAACTTGGAGCCTTACTGTCAGATCGGTGGCCTGGAAGCTGTCCCCCTGAAACTGGACTATTGGTAAGTAGGGCCACTCAAGGGAGGCCACCTATGGGTGGCTCACCACCAGGCGTGAGGAACTGCTCCTTGAGCCGCTACTCAATCAGCACACACTAGGACTCCATAAAGCCTGCTGCTACCATGTCACACAGCCCAGTTCTGTGTAGCTGAGGCACCATCCTTTACCAAGCAAAGAGATGAGCACCAAAGAAGCAAAACTGGGCTGGGCAGTGGTGACACACGACTTTAATCTCTGCACTTGGGAAGCAGAGGCAGGCAGATCTCTTGTGAGTTCCAGGACAGTCTGATCTACAAAACAAAATCCAGGACCGCCAGGGCTACACAGTGAAACTCTGTCTTGAAAGAGCTGAAACTGGTTTCTGAGTCACGAAGTTATGAATGATACTTTAGATATGGCTAGGTTAATTTTCTTGAAACTCAACTCTGATCTGCCGACTCTCTGTCCAGCCATACTGACAGTGTTGGGATGGTGTCTTAGTCGGTTTCCTGTTGCAATAATAGAATGCCCGAGAATGGCAAGGGGTTTATTTGGACTTGACGTTCTGGGTCCAGGAAGCATCACAGTGATTGATGTACCAGCATCGACTTTGCTTCCTTCCAGCTTCCGGCTTCCAGCTTCTAATAAACAGCAGAAAAGGGAAGCACACGGGTGTGGAAGAGAAAACCCAAGTGTCCCTCGCAGCAACTCAGCTAGTATTGGCCCACATGACCCAGACACCCACTAGTCCCCACCCAACACTGCTACAGTGAAGACTAAGCCCTGGAATGAGTTTTGGTGGGCAATATACATATTCAAGTTAGGGCAGATGGCTTCCCAGCCTCCTCTGACTCCCCAACCTTCAATTCAGCAGCACTTTCAAGTCATAGGCACAATAATCTAATGAGCAGGACTCCCCCAGCACATTCCAGACAAAGTCACCACACACTACTCCCAGCCCTGCTCTTCCTCCAAACATCCTTCCCACGGTGCGGCTGAGCACTCACTGTGGGCCCACATTGTTGAAGGGGGGGTACATTCATAAACAAGACCTGGCTCCCACAAGGTCATAAAGGCTGCCTGAGCAGGTGGCTCCCACTGAAATCCTACCATTCTCCACAGCTCTCTGTGAAAACTCCCCTGAGGCACCTTCAGACCCAAAGCATCCCTGGCTATTGACTGTGCTGGTCCTGCACCCAGCCACGGTGACAGTAGCATCCCTGGCTGTTGACTGTGCTGGTCCTGCACCCAGCCACGGTGACAGTAGCATCCCTGGCTGTTGACTGTGCTGGTCCTGCACCCAGCCACGGTGACAGTAGCATCTTGGACTTTGCTGCTATTCTCTGGCTCCTACACACCAATTGGCATGTACTAGGAGTGAGGAGCCTTGCACACACAGCTCCTGTCCAGAGGGACCTGTCCTCCACCCGATAGAAGCCTCCATTCCTCTCCACCTGCAGTCAACAGTGAGGCCCGAGAGGGGTGCTTCAAACGCTCCCAGCATGTGTGCTCCGGCTCCCAGCCTATAGGAGGAGTTTCCTCTGGAATGATTGGCATTGATGGCTGTGTTTTCTGTTAGTTTGTTTGTTTGTTTTAAGCCGTGTTCACTCACAGTTTCCTGAAATGACATAGTGTGCTAACATTGCTTTGAGAAAAGGCCATATAGGAAACTCTCAGGGATATGGTTCATCCTGCGGAGATGGTCACTCCCAGGTGGCTCTTCTACTTCAGGTACTTCCAGGGCTCTGGGGAAGCTGGATTGGGTGGTAAAGACACTGCAGAGGCTCCAAGTCACACCCTCAGTCCCCTTTACCTCCTGATGGTAGGACAGGTGACATCTTTATCCACAGCCACAGAGCAGATCCAAGCCTTTCTGTATGTAACTCCCCTAACACATCATTCAACAGCATACACTTCCCACAGAGGAACTCTCCTCTTCCAACTCCTGTGTGCTCTAAGGACGGTATCAGTGCTAGAAAGTCCTTGCCCTGAGAGCTGTTCAGATTCTCCTGGACCATTCTCTTCCCAAGTGACAGGCTCCCTGAGTTGAGCACAAGCATCTGACTTGTAGCCGTGAATGTGTCCTGCCCAGGGCTGTTCAGTAGCCACAGTCTAGAAGCTCAGCTGGGATGGAGCCAGACCTAGGAACCAATGGGATTGTCTGTTGACGATGTCATTACCTGGAAGCCAGTCTGTGGTCCCACATCCTGTGGGAAGGGAAGGTTGTCCCAAGAGTCTCAAGGTGAAGTTCAGGGTGCTTCTCTGATGCTCTGAAGTGGGCCCTGCTTTTTCTCCTTCTGTTGTCTAGCTTCCAGGCATACCCAACAGAAACTAATTTGGAACGGCAGGTTATAATCTCACGGACTAAGCAGGTACCGGGAGGGTTTGGGATTACAGCCTCGGACTCTGAAACACCCCTTGCCCTTTATGGCTGGCCAGCTCTTTCTAGCAGAGCAGAAAAGCAAACACTCGGACTTTTTCTCCATTTCATCTCGCTACCCTCACACACCCAGACCTAATCACTTAGCACAACCCGAGACCCAACGTGGTATTTATCATAATATCCTGGGAGCGTGGAGCTCTGGGAAGTACAATGGTAGCTACTTACAGGGGCTGGCTGCTTGAGGGAACATTAATCACCGTGTCTGAGTATTTTCATGGGAGCGTATTGTAAACTAATTACCACGTTCAGGGCCCACTCTATCATTACCTATAATGTGTGATTTCAAATGTAATACCACTTCTGTTTTGTTGTGTTCACGCCACTGTAGACATACTCGGAGGTATACCTCAGCCAGAAAACATCTATACACAAACATAAAGCAGAAGGAGGTGCTTGTTTCTAAGATGGAGCCTGGGTCTGTAAGCACGCCAGGCAAGCACTCCGCCCTGACATAATGCTAATGAGACAAATGCCCATCTCATAGAGTCTGCGGGTGGCAGAAGACATTTAAAAGCTACTTTTGACAAAATGAATGAATACATTTAACAACAATTTTTATTTTTCCAGCCTGACCTACTATTGTCATATGCTCACCCAGAGAAAGATGCTGACCTCTTTGTATGCTAAACAAGAGACAATAAATTTAAAAAATTCACTTCAAATTAAGGATCACTATATCAACCTATACCCAGGATCTTTCGAGCAAGACATAAAATATTATCTCAGAGGCTCTTGTTACAGCGTAGCCGAGAAAACAGAGGTTGACTCACATCCTAAAGAGCTGCAAGTTCTGTTCTGCATAACAGGGAATTTGAGTCTTGAAACAGACTTTCCAAGAAATGGGCTCTAACATATGGATTGTTAAAAATTCAGCGTTGCCTGTGTTTGCACGCTTGTGGGTGAGACAGACACACACTCCTTCCAAGTGGGAATCAAAGGACCAGAGGGGGACTTACCCCTTCAGATCCACACCCATCCCGTGTTAGAACTAGGGATCAGGGCTTGGGGGTCCTCATCGTTTCAGGTTGCTGGAGGGATGGGGCTCACCATAAAGCCCCCCTAAAGAAATACCTTTGAGTTGGAGGACAAAGAAGGGAAGTGGCAGGGTATATTTATTACAGTCTACAGAGCACAGGGAATGGCAGGGGAGCGGGGAGGACTTGGGTTCTTTGGAGAAGACAGTAGTTTGGAGTGAAGGACCTATTGGAAGCAGAGAAACAGAGGTCAGCCCACATGGTCAGGTTTGATAATGAAGGGCCACCTCTGTCCTGCTAGGAATTTTGGCCTGGATCCTAAGAACGTGTCTGTTTCAAATATATTATTTATAGGTGTATAGAATATGTGTTTTGCTTGCATACATGTGCATGCCTAGTGTGCCCACAGAGGCCAAAAGAGGGCACTAGGCCCTCCAGAACTGGAGTTACAGATAGCTGAGAGTCATCATGTGGGTTCTGGGGATCGAACTCACATCCTCCGGAAGAGCAGCCAGTGCTGAGCCATCTCTAAAGCCCAGCATGTATATTTTAAGTAGATGTTAAAGGAAACACTCTGGTGACAAACTGGGGAGCATGTTAATAAGAGCCAGAGAGATCAATGGGGTGAGTATTTACAGTTGTCTTGAGTTCCTCACTTGTAAAATAAGGGTTTTATTTCATGGACAGTCCGTCAGTCTTTTAACTATTGAATGGCACGTAGCACATGCTCAAGAACCAGTAGCCCACATCATTTCGTCCTCCTGCTAGGCGGGGCTGAAGGTGGCCAATAGAGGTTGCAGCAAGGGTGTAGGAGGCCAGAGAGGAGGAAATGAGGGTAGAGCTTTCTGGGAGGCCAGCACCAAGGCCAGTGTTCTGCCTTCTCCATTGCCAGACAAGCTTTCTTCACCCTCTGCCAACTTCTTCATGTAGGCCTGGTGCTCAAGGCCACGCCTCCTTTAAAAAAAATCTCCCTTCCCCTCATCTTCCACGAACTTTTTATTCCCCAGTAGACCCTGTAGATCTTCTAATAAAAGTGCTATTTTTTCCCACATATTGGAAAAAGAAGCAAAAGAAAAAATTCCTCTCTCTAGTCTAATTGTTCTGCTAGTTACTACCCCACCTTAGTCTGTTTTCTGTTGTTAGGGTACCGGAGGCTGGGTGATTTATGAAGAATAGAGTCTCACTCAGCATCTGGAAAGGTTCTCTTCCCGTATCACAGTGGGGCAGAGGGCAAGCACGAGGCTCTTCCCCTTCTGTAAAGCCAGAAACGCCATCCCAGCCCCTACCCTCATTACCTCATCCAATCCCAATTAGCTCCCAAAGGCTGGACCTCCAAACACCATTAACATATCAATTTTGGGGTTAAATTTCCAGCCCATGAATTCAGAGAGGGAACAACACATGCAACCAAGTCATGCAATTTATAGCAGAACTCCTTAAATGAATCCGAATGGTGCTGGACAGAATGGTGCATAGAGAGCTGGGAAGAGGGGCAGAAGGCTGAGGTTTCAAAGCTCCTCTGGGCTATATCACTAGTTCTGAGCTAGGCTGGGACACACAATGAAGCCAGGTCTCAAAACAAGAAAGTAGATAAATAATAAATTAG